GGGGGGGGGGGGTAGCTGTCAAGTCTCACGTTTCCTCTGAGACTTCAGCCCCTGTTGCCTTCTCACAGGTGTGAGATGTAAATCTCACGGTTTGTCCAGCATCCAAACCAAAGACAAAATGACAGTTTGTCAGCTTTACTGTCTCCCCTCCCCCAGTCGCCAAGTTTATGGAGAGTAGCTCACTGTTTTCACCAAATTGAATAGTTTTAATTATTTTTTTAATCACCCATCTGTTAATCTGTTTTCGCTGTGGCTGTGTTGAGACGTCATCGGCCTGGGTGACGTATGAGAGACACATCAGTACCTTGTGGCTGCTAAACGAAGCCTCCAAATCTGGAGATCCGTGCCTTTGGGCTGTCCGCTCCCCCCTCGGCATTTGGATCCCCACCCCCTTTCTGCCGCACGCTGCAGGAATGTCGGCACCGTGGGCTGTGCTGCCGTGCGGAATGAGGAAGTGGGCTGTTGGACTGTCGACCCAACGTTCGCGTTTGGTCTTTGCAGCACTTTGCAGCACTGGCCTGCTGTGACCTCCAACACCACACAGATTAGAGCGTAGTGGTGCAGGTGTTTGGAGGGAAGGGAGGTGGGGCTGCTTAACAGGGGTGATGTCACGGGGGTGCCGGCCAAAGCTACAAGCTGATTGGCCCTCGGAGTGAACCCTCCCCTGTCACTCACCGATTCAAAGAATCACCCTTGTGCTGATTATGCATAGTCTGTGGTGTATTTTTGTGTTGGTGGTATAGAAAAGCTCTGATCGAAATGTCAGAAGAAATTCCAGACACTTAGTTTAGGTCAGGCACAGAAATAACAGGTTCAGCTTATAAATGAAAAATAATGTGTTACAAGTGGTGTGTTGGGAATATATGTGTTTGACATTTGTTGATAATGGGATGTGGTTTGACCGTCTTTGGTGTGAAGCTGATTTCTGTTATGGTGGTTGTCTGGGGTAAATGATTACTACACCTCATGTTGCTACCCCTGTTTGCCTTTCAGGTCGCCGCTCATAATGACACATGCGTTGACAGGATTCACAGAGCTGATGGATCATGGGATTGTCTCCTGGGAGAACCTCTCCTTGGTCTTCATTAAGAAGGTACCCGGCGCCCTGACTCTCCCGCATTGTTGGTCATTCCTTGCACTTCCTCCAGTGACAGTCTCCATCTCTGCCAGATCGCCGCCTTTGTCAACGTTAAGGTCATGGATGCCTCGATCCAGCGTTTATCCCTCACCATTCTGGAGAACATGGTTCTAAGCAGCAACAGCCTCTTCAAGCTGGTCAAGGAGGAGGTGAACCTGGAGAGACTCATCGCCCACCTGCAAGTGTGAGTGTCGTGCTGAGGCTCGCACCGGTGCCTACATGTTTGGTGTTGCTCGGCTTCTTGTAGACGGTGACTTATATGGGTAACTTTCAGAATAAGTGACGTGCGAGTTTAAAGCAGAGAAATGGACCACCAAGAATCACCAGGGCAGCTGGGTGCACTTCCACAGAGGGCTTACCGGTGTCTGGACCTTTCCTGGTGGAATTTCACAGCGTTCTTTAGCAAAGCCAAGTGATTAATGCGGCATCTTGATGGCAGTGGAAATTTCTCCTTGGGCAGAGCTCTAGAATTTTCTTTAAATGTTCAGCTGGTTGGTTATAGTATAGCGTGTCTACATGTATTTATAGTGTTTCGTAGAATCACACTAGTGTGTCGAACTTGTGCATTTCATATCTGAGAGGCCAGTTCAGACAACCTCAGTGTCACAGAACGCCGCAGTTCCTCTGCTATAATGTGTGGTTTTTCTTTTTATGCAATTCTAGTATCAGTGCATGATCATTAACTTGTCATGCAAGTCTGAAGGCACCATAAACCCTTCTAATATTTTCAAGAATTTTCTTCAAAATGATTTGTTTCTATATGTTGCACTAGTTTTGAAAGATTCACGATCTTGTTGGCTGGACATTCTGAACATATGCTCTGCGGCAGCTCATTCTCCACCTTACCAACAGTAAATGCAAATGAATATTTCTGAGAATCATTCCTGTGTTTTCTTAATTGTTTTTACCTCCAGCTTCAGTTTTTTTAGCTGCATTCAGGCCTTTCAGACATCAAAGGATTTTCTGCGTCATTAGTAGGTGGTTATTTCATTGGAAACCAGGCCTCTGTAGCTACCTCCCATCACTTGAAGGAATCTACTTTTAATACCTAATTAGCTCACTTGGCATATGCAGTTTATTAACCAGGTGCGTAGCTTAGCAAATGCACATTAATTATCTTGGTTAAAGTCAATGAACAAATAAGAAAATCAACAAATGTTTTGAAGCCAATGAATGAACTCTACTCTGAATGTCATTTGGATTGCAATAGTCCATTTTTTATGTTTTCCTTAAATTTTTTTCTATCCCACATGGAAAATCCCTGGAACATATTAAACTTTTTAGTTGACTTTTTATGATTTTATTTATTTGGATTACATCTTCAGCCAAAGCAGCATCCAGTTGAGACCGCCTGCTCGTCCAGAACCTGTTGGGATTAAGGGCCTTGCTCAAGAGTGTAATGATGAAATCGCTCTACCATGGGATTTGAACCGACGGCCTTCCGATCCCGGGCACAGCGTCCTAGCATGCTGAGGCACATACCACCCCACTGTTTGTTTCGATAAATCCTTTATTTGCCATTTGCACAAGAACATCGCAATGCTTCTCTTCAGCTCCCCCATCCTGATCTCCATAGCTGGGGGGGGGGTCGTCACAGCACAGGGTCAGTCACCGTGCAGCACCCCCGGAGCTGGGGCCAAGGGCCTTGTGACTGGCTGGTGCTCGAACCGGCAACCTTCCAAACACTTCCCACCGAACCACTCACCACCGTCTTAGTCATGGCTCCCTGGAATGGCAATATTTGTAAAGCAATGGACTCTGTACCTACAGTCATCCAGGAGTGGAGCCGGGATCTGAAGACATCTGAGGCTTAGTCATCTTAAAACATCAGAGCTAAACACATAATTTGGTGCTTATTCACATTCATTCAGGGACTTCAGCCATGAAAGCACCAGGCCACGCCTCTGCAGTCACCTTTTAAGAAAGTATTTTTTCACGTATTAGAAATGGTGTCTGGATTGTGACCTGCTAGCCCAGAAGCAGGAGCGACAGGCAGACATTCAGACCTGCAGGTCTTCAGGTTGCTGACTGTCAGTCAGTCATTGGCTGCTCTGCCATGCATGCAGTGTGTGATTACAAAATGTTTCCACCCATAATGGAAACACTGTTTGGTTTTACTACCCAGGTGTAGTTCTGGTACATCACTGCCTTTCTTTGCCATAAGCCTATCGGTCTACAATCTCTGAATATTTCTTTAGGTAAGCATGTGATTTCAGTGAACTCTTGGTGGAGACCACAGCTCTAACACTACTGTGTCTGTCTCACTAGGGTGTTGTAACATTGACAGCATGGTGGAAATCAATAGAATCGCATGTCTTGCAGACAAAGCCAATTTACTGTATGTACTTGCAGAATTACAGAACACTCATATAGCATATAGATACATTAAAGCCAGTGTAGCTTAAGGAGAACATTAGCTTGCGCCTGATAGGTGGTTGTGTGCTATGAAACTATGAAAAGCTCCGTGATTAAAACAGGTAGACTTACACTACTGGTCAAAAGCTTTTGCACACACTGAGATTTTCTACCATTGCATGTTACTTAACATTTACTAAAAGAACACTTGGTACTCTTTGCTAACAAATGCATTTACAGTGAGTATCTTAATTACCAAGGAAATGTCGTCTAGCAGAGAAAGTTTGAGGCATTCTTTCTACAATGGACATCAAATACTGCTGTTTCAAGGGACGAAAAAGTGACATTTACAGTTAAAGGACAGCCTAGAATTTGACTGCCTCATAACCAGTTAATAGGATGTCAGACATACTTGCATGCTCGTTCCATGTTATAAAGGAAACTTGTTTTATTTTCATTTATAGTTGTTCATTCAACTTTCCAATGCTTAAGAATAAAAAAATTCTGCAGTTTATGAAACAGATGGTGTGCAAAGACGTTTGCCGGTTAGTCTACATTAGTGACAAACATGGGTGGTGCTTTGGTGCCACGGAAGTATTGACAGGGTTTGTCTTTGGGCAGCCAGGGAATGAAGGACCCCCCCCCCCCCCCCCCCCCCCCCCCCCCCCATTCTAGAATCGACTGGACATCAAGAACGGTAGCATCCTCCGGCTGACGAAAGCACCAGTGAGTCCTTGATCTGAGGAATTCTGAGAAATTGTAGGGGGGGGGATGCCCTTGGAATTCCAGAAAGGGCCGGGATGAAGCTGGAAAACAGGCAGAAGGCCTTTGTTCTGTCTGCTTGTATCTGTGAGTGCAGAGGCTGAGCAGAGCTGGATCTCCATACCTCCCTACACCTCCCTACACCTCCCTACACCTCCCTATACCTCCCTAAACCTCCCCATACCTCCCCATACCTCCCATACCTCCCTAAACCTCCCTACACCTCCCTACACCTCCCTACACCTCCCTACACCTCCCTACACCTCCCTATACCTCCCTAATCCTCCCTAAACCTCCCTATACCTCCCCATACCTCCCTAAACCTCCCATACCTCCCTAAACCTCCCATACCTCCCTATACCTCCCACACCTCCCTATACCTCCCTACACCTCCCTAAACCTCCCTATACATCCCTAAACCTCCCTATACCTCCCCATACCTCCCTAAACCTCCCATACCTCCCTAAACCTCCCATACCTCCCTATACCTCCCATACCCTTGGTCCCCTTTTCCCATATTGTGCCAAAACAAAGCCGGAATTGTGCCTCCTGAAACAGCCTTTGTCTGCTTCTGGATAAAGGCATTTAATTCTCTGCTTATGACTCTCAAAGGTGGTAAATACAGGGCAGTGAAGCGTTAAGAAGGTGCATGTGTGGCTTTCTGCCACTGCAAGAAGGTGTGTGTGCGCATGTGCGTGCGTGTGCGTGCGTGTGCGTGTGCGTGCGTGCGTGTGCGTGTGCGTGTGCGTGCGTGCGTGTGTGTGTGCGTGTGTGTGTGTGTGTGCGCGCTCTAATCCCTATGCCTGCAGGGCATGATCTTGGACATGTGGACAGAGCCTTGTCCCATCTGGACAGTATAAAAATGAGGGGTGGGATTTCAGGCATAAACCAATCACATTGCTCATTATGGACCAATCACGGCCCATACGACGTACCATAACACATACTCCGCTGAATTTACTGCTGTTTGCTGATAATGTCAAGTGTTTATGATGCTGTGTGCGAACAAGGTTATCTGATTACGAGGCATCGGTGATCTCTGTGTAGAGAAGCCTTCAATAGTGTCTCTGAGGCTCTGGGGAACTTTCACTTTCTTAATAAAGAGACGTTTGTAGGTCTGTGTAGATGTCGGGGCAGCATGCAGAAGTGTGTGACGCGTGTGTGTGTGTGTCTCAGGGCCGCTGCGCTGAGGACCTGTACAAAGGCATCCAGAATGCAGACTCGGGGGTGCGCTGTGACTCGCTGAAGCAGCTGGCAGACGTGTCCACAGACATCACCTTCGCCCAGGAGTTCATCAGCCGGGATGGACATTCTCTTCTGGTGCAGATCGTGGAGGAGGACAAGGAGTATGTGCCCCCGTGATGGGGCCGTGGAGGCTGGGGGACGTCGGCGTGTTGGGGGGTAGCTGTCAAGTCTCACGTTTCCTCTGAGACTTCAGCCCCTGTTGCCTTCTCACAGGTGTGAGATGTAAATCTCACGGTTTGTCCAGCANTGTCACAATCAGCAGATCCAGACCAAATATATATCGGGGCTGAGTTTGTGACCATTGGCCCTCATTTCTGACAGGACCAATCAGCAGATCCAGACCAAATATATATCGGGGCTGAGTTTGTGACCATTGGCCCTCATTTCTGACAGGACCAATCAGCAGATCCAGACCAAAGCCATGGCCCTCCTCATGGCCCTGCTGCAGACCGGGCTAGAAGCCGACCGGCAGGTCCGTGAAATTTCTTTTATTTTTCACGTTTTTATGTAACCAGTCGCATTCACGTTATTTATTGCAGCTTTTGGGCCTGTAACTCCGATTGTATCAGTAGTCAGATGAATGCTAATCTTAATACACCACGCGGTTCAGGTTTTTACAGTGACATGACTGCCATCTGCTGGTGCGATTATGCCATTGAGTGTCGGGGTTCCCAACCTGCGGTTTGTTGGACCGTTTCCAGTCTGTGTCTGGGGAAAGCTGGCGGTTTGGTGGGGGGTTTGTTTAATGAACTACATCGGCTATATAACCTTCAGGCCACGCCTTCTTTACGACTCCCTGCATTCCAGTCACGTCAGAAAAAAATGGAAACTGTTAAACATATGAAATCTCACCCGCTGATCGACAAATTCGAATCCCCCACCCCTCAGAATTTACACCTGTCCTGGGTTTATCCCGCTTTGGAAAAAATAACATGCTGTTTCTCATGTAGAACCAATACGGGATGCAATTTGTCCCCCAGTTGAATAGTTTTACTGGTCCATACAACATAAACTGGTCTGCAAACAACAAAAGGTTGGGAGCCCCCTAATGTGGATTGTTTAGAAATATGTTATTCTAATAGCTCTTTCTTTTTCTGTAATAAATAATGCCATTAATTTTTTCTATTTTCTGTTTCTTATGGTCAGGAATTATTGGCTTATCTTTCAAGCAAAAACCTTCGTCAGTACATCTACAAGGTAATGAAATTTAATGTTTTATTGTATTTTAATTTTGATTTGGTAGTAAATGTCATGGCTGACATCTGCAAGTCTGCACGTCGTCCTTATGAAGGAGAGAGTGGGTTCCCATCTTCAGAGAGACGGCCGTGTTCGTAAAAGCGGATCTTCCTGCGTCTCTGGTGTGTCGGCCCACAGAACATCATCCACAGCTCGGAGGCCGTGGGGAACGAGATGGCCCACTACCTGTACGTGCTGCAGTCGGTCAGCCTGAACCTGCTGGAGCCCCTCATGAGGACGCCGCTGGACTCCCTCAGCCAGGTGACACTCGGCCTCATCCAGATGGAAACCAAGCATGAGACGAGCAACAGAACCGATGGAAAGCTGAAGCAGGATCGCCCCCCCTCCGTGAGATGCTCTGCTGCCTGCCTTTCTCACTCGCCACCCTTCCCTCCCCCCACAGGAGCAGAGGGACAAGATACACAGCCTGCGGCAGTCGGCCTTCGAGACTGACAGTGACGGCGGCCTGAGCCACGAACGGCGACGCTCCCTCTGTGCCAAGGAGTTCAAGAAGCTTGGCTTCTCTGTGAGTGCCCCCCCCCCATGA